AACTGTGTGACCCTGGGTGAGGCACGTGCCCTCTCTGGACCTCACTTCTCCCACCTGTAAAGCAAAACGTTTGCCTGAGTTTCCTCAACAGCCCCTCTTCCATCCTAATCTGTGAGTAGGGAAGTGTCAGAGTCCTTCCTAGACTTGGCTGAGCCCTGCCTGCCCAGCAGCCGGGCGCATTGGACTTGGAAGGTAGTGAGCCTGGAAGGTCATGGCTGGGACAAAGCAAGGAAAGAGGAGGTGCAAGAAGGGCAGAGGAGGAGCTGAGATGGACACTCAGATATAGGAGGCTGTGGGGTGTGGAGGGAACACTTCATAGCTGGATGATCCTGGCAAGTTACTCATCAGAGCCTCAGTCTCCCCATCTATGCAATGGGCTTCACACTTACTTTATGTCAGTTAAATGAATAAAAGCACATGAAGGTCTTATCAGAGGGCCTGGCATGTGGAACACACAGCAAATGCCAGCCACCTTCTCCCCTCTCTTCTCCTCAGAGAGGGCGCAGAGGCCCTGGCCCCTCTCTGCACAGAAGCACATGCAAGCTGGATTTGCTCCAGGTCGGGGGTTGCAAACCACTACATGAGGGAGGTGGCTCGCAGATGTGTTTGGTTTGCCTTCACAGTGTTTTCAGGGAGTGATGGTGTAGAATTGGTCCTATTTCTTCCTTAAGTGTTTCATAGCTGCAGTGTTTTAATTTCAGTGAAACTACAGATTTCCAGCTCTTTGTGAAGCATCAGGAGATCTGGTGTCACCTGGACTGCGTTCCCTTGCGGGGGCGAGGAGTGGGGGCCACATCTGGAGCAGAGCAGCTGCAACACCCTTTACATTGTTTTCTATTCTTCATTTTTGTTTAGTTTTATTTATTTTTCTTATTCACATGTATAATTGACAGAAAGCAGGACTGTGATCATATCACATGGGCCCGGTTCCCCTCTTCCACTTGGCCAGCCTTCCTGCCTGTTCATGGGAACGTGCACCCCCCTGTCCAGGGAGTATCTGTGCCATCAACGTAACATACAGCATTCAGCACATTTCTCATGCTCTGAAATCATATTTAGATGTATGTGTGCATATACAAACATGTTTGTAGGTGGTAACTGTAGATTTTTTTTCCCTTTTTATAAACATGAGACTATGTCATGCACACCGCATCTTGCTTTTCCACCGCCCCCTGCTGA